GAAAGCCCACTGTCTTGACTATTACTCCTCTTCCCATACCCTTTATTATTTAAGATCTACATTTAAATTATAGCTCAAGTCAGATTTCTTCTAGTTTTCCCCCACATTTTGTTTGTTGTTTGTTGTTTGTTGTTTGTCATTGTTATTGTTTTGTTTTTGGAGACAGGGTTTCTCTGTGTAGCTCCTGGACTCACTTTGTATACCAGGCTGGCCTTGAACTCACAGAAATCCACCTGCCTCTGGCTTCCTGAGTGCTGGGATTACAGGTGTGCGCCACTGTGCCTGGCTTCTTTGCCACATTTTGCCAATCTTTTTATCAGGTTATCTGGTTACTTTTCTCCATACAGAAAAAAAAAGTTCCTAATCTTCTCAAGTGTCAAAACTGTCAGGGCCATATTGAAAGGATATATTAGACACCAGCATGCAACAGATGGATTTGTGTCTATTTACTTCCTCACGACTTGAGAAAGTTAATTTCTCTAAATCTGCTTCCTTGTATATAAAATAGCAATGATAGTGCTTTGTCTTGTTTAATACATTTTAAAAATGTGTATGTATGTGCATTTTTGTGGGTATAAAGTTGTAGGCATGATAGCATGTATGTGGAGGCCAGGGGACAGCCCAGATGTTGGTCCTCAGATGCCTTCCACCTTTCATTTGAGACAGAGCATCTCTTAACCCAGGACAGGTAGGTGAGTCTCATTGGTCCATGAACTTCCAGCGAGCCGCATATTTTGTCTTTTTTCATATGACTACTGAGATTACAGGGGTACACCACCATGCCTAGCTTTTTATGTGGATTCTGAGGATTCAAATTCAGGCTCTCATGCTTGCAAGGCAAGTACTTAACCACCAACTCATCTCCATCCCCTCAACAAATATTTCGGACAGTTATATATCTGCCATTGTGCTGAGAACTGAGTATTACAAAAGAGAGGCATGGTCCCTATTCTTGTGGAGCTAATATCTCAGTGGTGGAGGCTGGGATCAACCATTAGCGTGTATATTTGTGGACAGTTGCTATTGAAACTGAGGTCTGAGTTATGATAATCTCACCCAGTCTGTGAGCCAGTTTAGTTATGAAAAGCTTTTCTTTTATGTATGCTGGGGTTGGGAGGATAAGAAGAGTTATGAAGATAACAGAAAGGGGATTCCAGATGTAGGAAGAAGCAAATATGAGGCCTGGGTGAGTCATATCCAATGTAGTGGGGACTTGAAATAGCAGATAGTTCGGGCTATCTGTTGATATTGCTGACATAAAAAAAAACAAAACAAACAAAAAAAAACAACAAAAAACATAGCTCTTACTGCAAAGAGAGTAACAGAGTCTGTTCTACGACCAAGTAAGGCTGACCACATCCAGGGAAGACAGATTTAGTATCTCAAACACCATGTTACAAATTGGACAATTTCATGAAATTTTATAATAAAGAAAGTCATAGATCAAGAAACTTTCAGATACATTGGTGGTATGATGGGCATACTTGATTGTCAATTTTACCACATCTGAAATTAACTAAATCCCAAGTGGCTGGGTACATCTGTGAGGGATATTTTCTTAATTAAAATAATTTGAAGTGGGAAGATCCACTTTTAATCCAGATCTTTTGAGGTAGGAAGATCCACCTTTAATCTGGGCTACATCTTCTCTGGCTGCCTATATAAAGGACAGGAAGAAGGAAACTTGCCTTCCTTGCCTGATTACTGTTACAAGTCCTTCACTGGCATTAGAGCCTACTTCTTTGGGATTCCAGCATATACTTAAAGACAAACTGAGACAAGTTGTTCAGTTCAGCCTCGTGAACTGAACCCTACTGGATTCTTGGAACTTTCATTGGTAGGCAGACATTATTGGACTAGCCAAAACACAGCCTATAAGCCATTCAAATAAGTAGCCATCCTACACACACACACACACACACACACACACACACGCACACACACACACACATTATGTAAGTTCTGTTCCTCTAGAGAACCGTGACTAATACAGGTGATAACAGCAAGTAGATGGGTTACAGCCAAGTAGGAGAAATCTCTGCTATAGGCCTCAGATGGCATCTGATGACATTTTTCACCACAGGATTGATGAAAGGTAGAAGACTGTACTTTCCAAAAGCACTTACCTAGTCTTCACAAGGATCTTATAACCGTGGGTAACACGTGGTTAGTTATTTGGAGGGTTAAAGATAGCTCAAAATATTTAGCATTGCATCTGACTCTCTATAACTTGAAATTGTAATTGACCAATCAACCTTGTAGAATGATTAACATGGGTGCTTTTTCTTGTTTTTCCATTCACAGCATATAGCAAACCATCCCAAAAGTTGGTTGCTTGAAGCAACATTTAATTTGCATGAATCTACAGTGTGGGTGGGACTTGGTGAAGATGGCTCAGGTCTGTCTTCCAGCAAGGAGACAGAAAGGGTCAGGCAGAGGCTGCATCATCTGTTACAACTCAGCTTCAGAAGTCCCTCTGCACTATTTCAGTACAGCACTGACATCTGAAGCAGAGACAGCAGATATCAGGTTACCATGGAGAAGTATCAATGTCACGTCATCTTTTTAATTAAAAAGTATTCATATGACTGTGAAAAATGAAGAATGTTCATACATAAAGTATCAGCAGAACTTTCATAAAACCGTGGCTTGAAATTTTACCATCATCCATCTCTTGCTGTTATCTCTACTTACCATTGCATTTTGTTGCTTTGAATTACATAACGTCAACACACATTTACATTTTTGTAATCATTGATAACATGTCTTAAAGCCTGGCCTATATATTTCTATATGTCATATATTTATGATATATGATAGAATGCATTAATTTTATCATTTTATATGCTCTGTCTTTCTAACTAGCCAGACTTTGAGATAAAGCTTTTTTTGCTTTTTGTGTTTGTTTTTATTTTCATATCTGTAATTCCAAAGACTGCCTCACCCAGAGCAAGTACTTAATGGGAGTTTGTGTCTTTCAATATTGAATTGTCACTGCTCTCTTGAGATTTTTTCATCAGGTAAGTTTTCTGTCCTATGTTGTTTCAAATTCAGATTATGTGGTCTATCCATGGTATATATTTTATACTTAATGTCTCTAGTAGTTACTGATTTCGAAGCAAAAATGAAAACCTTTGATTGAATGGAAAATAGAAACACATATCTAATCAGAAGCTGCTTCGGATATAATCATGAGCTGAGGAATGGGAGCTAAAGTGTGTGGGAAGGAAAGCACTGCCCAGCTTCAAACACCTGTTGACCTGCAGAGTCAAGATCTGTGCCTACCTCCCTCATGTGTAAAACAAAGCTTGTGTTGGGGAGATGGTATCTAACAGTTCTATTGCTGTGAGGAGACACATGAGCAAGGCCACTTATAAACGAAAACATTTCATTGGGGTCTTGCTTATGGTTTCGGAGGGTGGTTGCGGAGGGTGAATTTATGATAATCATGGCAGTGAGCTTGGCAGCAGAGAGACATGGTGCTGGACCAGTAGCTGAGAGCTCATATCCTGATCCACAAGTTACAGGCTAGGGGTAAGGGGAAAATAGACATAGATAGGTAGAAAGATGTGTGTGTGTGTGTGTGTGTGTGTGGAGAGAGAAAGAGAGAGAGAGAGAGAGAGAGAGAGAGAGAGAGAGACTGTGCCTCTTGGCTTTTGAAACCTCAAAGCCCATCCCAGTAACACAGGATTGTTGGAAAACTAAAATGAAGTTTACAGATAAAAGGTGCTAAAAAGGAACAAAAATGCTAATGTATGTCAAATATTGGTATAAAGGAGTTGGATATAGATGTTCTGGACTTATTAGTAATAAATAGAAGGATGAAGTACTTAGTTTTTAGGTATTATTAAAAAATGACTGCCCGACAAAATAATTCAATATAATATCAAGTTATGAGCCTTCCTGTTGTTTATAGTTTCTTAAGAAAACATTTTTATCGCAGTGTAATTCAAATGGATCTTGAAATACATAAATTTATAATCATGAAATTAAAAAGATCACACTCACTGCTCTGGGATCAGGGTGTGTCTATCTATAATTTGCTGCCAGAAATGAAAAAAAGTCTTGAACTGATTGACAGGGATATTGTCATTTATTGTTTAGGATAAACAGTGTAAAAAGGCATGTATATTGAGTGCTGGAGTTTTTCTTAAAATGGGGCCGCTGTAAAAGCCAGAAACACGCCAGTCCTATTCAACAAATGTTTTAGTAGCTTCTGCGATTTCAAAGTCTCTGTGTTGGGTGCAGAAGAAGAGATGAATAACCGCTGCTGCTGGAGAGAGACAAGATCTGAACGCAGTGGAAAGCGGAGTGGGACTTCAGGGTGCAGGAAAAGCACGATGCTGGAAGAACCTGGTGGGGCTTTGAATAATTTAATTTTGCCTGCCTGCCTGTCTTTTTTTTTTTTTTTTTTAATTCTATATTGGATGTCCTTTCCGCATTTGCTAGGTCGCTTATTGGCAGAGAATCCGCGACCCTGTGAAATCTTTCCCATTCCCCATTTGTTCCTTTCCCCACCAATTTGATCTCTTCAGCCTCCAGCACTGCATTTGGAACAGTATCTATTGTGTGGGTGGCAGAACACGGAGAAGCTATTTTTGTTCTAATTAAGAGCACTGTTTTCGTGGGGGAAGAGGAGGGGTAATAAGGCGGATCTGAGGCTGAGCCGCTTGCTGGGCGAGGATGTTCCCTGGAGGGAGGCGTTACTAAGGTTACTAGAGAGAGGACCGCAGGTGACAGGCAGGGTTTTTTTTCTATAGAAAGATACATTTTCCAATGAAGGGCTGGGCTGGGCTGCGGACAGTGCGACATTGTACTACGTTGGATTCCCTAGAGGAAAAGGGAGGTGGCCTAAAAGGAAAATGAGGGACCAAAGCAGGCAGCCTTTGCTTCCTCTTCCGGGCCTTTTCTTCCGCCGTCATTGTTTCCTTCGAGCCATTATGGCTGGAGCACAAGATCTGCGCGCCGGAGAACGGTGCCTTGTAGATGTGACACGCCTCTGAGCCTGGCCGGAAGTTGCCCCGAGCCGGTACCCGTAGGGACAGGCAAGCCGCGGGTGTTGGCTGTGGCGCAGGCGGCGGCGCTGCGTGGCTCTGGAGGACCGGCGCGGACCTGCAGCGGCTCGCTGAGGCCGTGGGTCGCCGCTGCAGCTGCCAGGACTTTTGGGGCGAACTTGCGAGACAGAGAGGAGCGGAAGGGAAGGGGTGTGTAAGGAGGGCCGTGGGCGTATTTGGTGTCAGGAAGGACTTTTGAAACTGGTTCCTCATGGTAGTTGATTGTAATTTTTATTTTGACAGATTCTGGAGGTAGCAGATGCCCAGTTCTCGAGATTGTTTTAACTCCAGTCGATTGATATCATGATTTGAACGAGAGCTTTTTAGTGAAGCTACTGAGTTAAGATAGCTCATGGGATGGTTGAAGCTGCCAGAGTTGAAAAAGAAATACGGGGAGCCGAGGAAGGAAGTGGTGCTGGGAATGAGGGGTCAAGATACTAGTTCATATTTACAGGGTTTACTGTACTAGGTACAGTACAAACCCTTTATGCTTGATGGCTCATTTATTCCTTCGGGGTCCGGACTCCTTTTAACCTTTACATAAGTGGGAAAGAAAGAAAACAAATATAAATGAAAAACATCTGTGTCAGACCTTGGATTCTGCTAATCTCCAGACTCCACAGTATGGTTTTTCACCATCAAAATATGAAGAAAGTGAGGATATAGGTTGAGAGGATATTATAATTTGAACAAGTGTGATAAAATGTGCTAAAAGGTGTTAAGTCCAGAGTCAGCCAGGGAAGTTGGGAACTGTGACCGGCAAACCTGTGGCTCCCAGCTTGGCTTTGGTCTTCTCTTTAGCATTTTGGGGTTAAGAAAGAGAAGTATATACTCACACACTTAAGTTGGAAGATCGAATTACAGAGACTCATAGAATTTAACAATTTGACATAGCTACCTTATTTAACAGATGAACAAAGCCCCAAGAAAGGTCCTGACGTAAGGAAGGTAATCAAGAATGGAAACATTGTCTATCCTAGTTATATCCTTGCTGCTACAAATGCTAAAGTTAAAGAAAAGTTACTCTCACTTTACCTGGCCTAGTTTCTTTCAGCTGTAGAGATTAAAACCTACCCATACCCCTATTAATGTTTCCCAAATTCTGTGCACTTGACACAAATACTAAAGTTAAACATAGTATAATTTGACCTGCATTGGCTCCTTTCAGCTGTAGGAATTGAATATTGATGACATACAATAGTGAAATAATCCATTTCTTTGTGTGTATTCCAAGTTCTGGGTGATTCTGGAATTGGATGCCTTTTTAGACATAATTGGGTGACAGCTGGGGCTTGTCAGCACCTCCAAGAATGTCAATCTAGAAATAAACAATAAAACTAAGCCTAGAGGTAAGGTAATTTATTTTAAGGAAACCTCAAACAGAACTGATGTTTAAAAAATTAAGGGAAAAATTTAATCAGTTGGTACTGTACTGTTCCAAGCACAAATTCTGTTAAGTTGTGCCTAGTCATATTCACAAGAGACTGTTGAAACTGGGGCCTTAAGAATCAAGTAGATTAGGTTAGCCGCTTGCTTTGTAAAGTTGGTTTTGCGCTTGACTCTTCTCATTCCTAAAATGTAAGTGCTTGTTTTTAAGTTAAAAAATGATAAGTATTATGTACTTATCACTGCGTCTATTACAAAGTGATAACATAGTCATTCGTTGTGTAATAAGAAAGACAATTAATTACATCTTGCAATTTCATTTTTCAAACATCACAGAGTATGGTTGCACAGTAGTATAGCCATCAAACACTATACTACAGACAGCCCCAAAACTCATCTTTCCAGCCTATGAACGTATTCAGCGTGTAATCATTGCTGTAGATAATTATAATGTTATTTTCACACTTAGGCATAGCTATGTAAAAGGTGTAGTTGAAGTGCTAGGCAATACTTTCTCAGCTTTGTAAATTTTTTAGTGCTCTGTCAGTGACAGAGCCATCTATAGAGGTACACAACACAGATGAAGGTGATGCGTTGCTGCCCCTTGAATGCAGTCACTTTTCAGCATCCGGGCTTAGGTTTCACCAGAAAGGCCAATGATTAACTTCCATCTTCTCTTAACAGCAACTAAGGGTGGAAAACATTTGCATTTCTGAAATATCCGTCTGTTATTTCAAAAAGAGTGGAAGTTTTAGACGACTTCATAGCCCATAGTCAGTGATCTGTCTACCACATCTTGTAAAACTTGTGGCTGTCTAAGATCACTTCATTTCCATTCTTGTGTTTCCTGGATATTTGGCAGCTCAGGGTCTACACAGCTGACTTCATACTCCTTTGCAGATGCACGGGCATGGAGGCTACGACTCTGACTTTAGTGATGAGGAGCAAGGTGGAGAACCCAGCAGAAAGAAGAAGTAAGTCTTTATTGATCCATAGTTCATGTTATTTCTAGATGGACATGAAGTATGTGTGAGATTTTCTTCGTTACACTGTAATAAATGGATTTAAATTTGGAGGTAGTTGTGGGAAAAATGAGTTTTGTTGTGAAGAGGTTTATTGAAAGGGAAGGAGGGAAAAGGAAGGATTTCTCTATTGCGTGTATGTGTGTATGTGTTATGGTTTGTTAAGACTGTGCCTGCAAATGTCACAGCTTAAAGGGGGCTTAGTCACAAGTGCTTACCTTCCATGGGAGTTCTGTGTGGAGGATGAATTATAATTCAGAAAAGTTGTTATATTTACTTGAATGAGCAGGTCAGAATTGGGATGACCAAGATCCTCTAGCACACAAACCCTGGTTGTCACAAGAACACATTCTTTTCTTGTTGTCATTTTTGTTTTCTGAGACAGTTTCATTATGTAGTTCAGGCTGTCCTGGAATTCTCTATATGGCCCAGGCTGTCCTAAACTCAAACAATCTTAGCTTCCCTACCTCTGGGATTCCACGTATGAGTGCCATGTCCAGATCCAGGCTACATCCTCACCATGTTGCTGTGTTTAGGGGCATTGTTCTTGGCTTTCAGTGCTTAGAAACTTCATGTTACATATTAACATAGGAGTGCTTGAGTCATAGTACCAGAACTTGGAGAAACTGGTCTACAGTGAGATTAATATGTTAGGTGTGCTAACTAGGACTGAACATTTTATAAGACCATCAGTCTTCATGAACAACAAAAAGAATACTAATAATTATAAAATATTACAGCAATGTATGTTTTCTAGATTTCCATTAAGAAACATTACTTTCTGGTCTGAGGATTCTAATTTGGTAGAATGCTTACCTAGGATACATAAAGCCCCAGTTCAGTCCCCAGTGCTATGAAAAACCAAGATCAGTGGCACATGCCCTTGAGAGGTAGATAAAGAGCATCAGGAGTTCAGACTTATCCTTGGTTATAGTATGAGTTCTGAGCCAGCCTGGGTTACATAAGGACCCTCCCTCAAAAGAGATATTTATTTTTAAATTTGTTTATTCATTTTATATCTTGATTGTAGCCCTTCCCCCTTCTCTCATTTTTACCATCCCCTCTTGTCCCCCTATTCCCCTTCTCCTAGTCTTCAGACACCCTCCCCTCCCCGCCGACACACTCATTAATCCATCCCAGCACATCAAGTCCAATCAGGGCCAAACACATCTTCTTCCCTGTTGCCTGGTGAGGCAGCTTCACCACAGGGAAGTGATCAAAAAGCAGGTAACAGAGTCCATGTCAGAGATAGCCCCTGCTCCCCTTACTAGGAATCCCAAATGAAGCCGAACTGCCTATCAGCTACGTATGTGTATGGGCCCTACGACCAGTCCATGAATGATCCTTGGTTGGTGCTTCAGTCTCTGCAAGCCCCTGTGGGCCCTGGTTAGTTGGCTCTGTTAGTTTTCTTGTGGAGCTCTTGTCCCCTTCACATCCTTCTCTCCTTCCCTCTACTTTTCTGCAAGACTCCCTAAGCTTCACCCAATGTTTGGCTGTGAGTCTCAGCATCTGTTTCAATCTGCGGCTGGGTGGAGCCTCTCAGAGGACAGCTATCAAAATGATATTTTAAAAATAGAATTTGAGCAGACTTAGTTGGGTACTATGGTCCAGGGTTCTATTGTTTGTGCCAGTAAGGTTGATCGTTGTGGTCAGTATCCTCTAGGTCAACCTTTCTTTTCCATAAGTTTTAATTGTTAAATCTTTATTATGCCTACTTTATAGATAAGTAATCTTATAATAAGATTAGGGTGGTAAATGATTGAGTCAGGAAGTGAACTAGGAACCTGGCTGGTTGGAACCAGCCATTTTATAAGTATTAAAATTAAGATGTAAAATGTTTCATTAAAGATCAGTGAATTTTTTAAAGTTAAGTCTTTAGTTATTTGAATTGATGTGTTACTTTTTTTTTTTGTTGTGAACCAGTGCCTGACAAGAAGACATTGAAAGGTTTGTTTTGGCTCAGGATATAAGAAGGTATAGTCAGGCAGGGGTAACACCTGGAGGAGGAGCATGAAATAGCTGTGTCAGCAGTGAGGAAGCCAAGAGCAGATAGAAAGTGAGGCCCATGTTATAAAATCTCAGTCCTTCTGCATCCAGCAAGGCTCCACCTTCCCAGAACAGCACCACCAGCTGAGCCCAAGTGTTCAGTAGTTACAGGAAACATTCACCCTCAGACTGCCACAGCCAAGACACAGGCTACTGGTAGAATGCTTGCTGAGCAATCATGAACGTGTGAAGAATTAGGCAGCCCCTTTCAAGAATACTAACTCTTAATAATTTTTCTTTTTACCACACTAGGACAATCGAAGATGAGTTGCTGCTTGCAAAACCATTTCAAAAAGAAAAACATGGAAAGGTGGCCCATAAGCAAGTGGCCGCAGACCTGCTGGACAGGGAAGAAGCAAGAAATAGAAGGTTTCATCTCATAGCTATGGATGCCGTATCCTTTTTATAGTCCTATTTTTATAACTAATAGAATATTTCAAAATATGCTTGGTAACCATGTTTTATAATTTTTAAAAATCAAAATATTGTCAAGTTGGATAAACTAATTTTATTTTTACAAGTTAGTAATTGTTGATATAGAAAGTTACCATTTATGTTTTCAGGTATAATTCTCTTTTGCTAATATATAGAAAAATATAGAGGTAAAAATAATGAAAAATATTAGTTGTGGTCTATAAATAGACTTCAAAAGTCTATGAACTTCCAAGTGTTTCAGCCGGTTCTCGTCAGGCTTCTAGCATTTCCCTTTTCTGTTCTTGTCTTCTTTAACATCGTTTTAATTTATTCCCACCCTACCTGGTTCTTGGCTATTTTAAGTTTTGCAAAACATGTTTTAAAATCAAATCTGTCTGAGTGCCATCCCTAAGGCTGCTGTTACTCTGTTCCTCAGTTGTGACTGGAGACAATGTTTAAGCTGTAGGTCAGTCAGACTGTGTCATGGTACAACTATACTGACCTCACACTACTGTGGGGTATTAGAGAACAGGAGAGGTGAGGTGTTTCTGAGCGTTCGCCCCAGCTCAGGGCTGAGAAAAGGAAGCACTACACTAGGGTTGTCTGGCTCATTTTTGTGTCATTCTTTTCCTTTAAGTTATTGTGTCCTGGATTTTTTTTAAAAAAATTTCTCTTACCTCTTAACCAATTGGAAGCTTAGCTTAATGGTCTAATTTTTCATAAACATCTAAACATATGTTCTGCCTTCTCTGACACTTTCATTAAGGGTGTTAGGGCACCTAGTGAGAATGAAAGTATAGGTGCTGCTTTTTTGACATGGATGGTAGAGGACCCCAGCATTTTTATCTTGAGGGGTTAGGGTTAGCTAGAGTGGAGTAGTCATTATGTTAAGGGTCTTAAAGGTCTTTCTGGGTATGGTGGCACAGGCCTGCAATCCCTGCATTCAGGAGGCAGAGGCAGGAAGATCTCTGAATTTGAGACCAGCATGGGTGGTCTACATTGTGAGCTCCAAGCCAGCCAGTCCCCTGTCTCAAAAAGAAGAAGAAGAAGAGGAGGAGGAGGAGGAGGAGGAAGAGGAAGAAGAAGAAGAAAAGAAGAGAGAGACAGTAGTCTTCCTAGAATGGGTGTTGGCCTTTTGGTGAGAGAGAGCAAGCTGTTGGGAGGGAGAGCAGACTGTTGTAATTATTTCAGCCTATGTCTATTAATGTTTTCAAGTTGCTAGCATTACCTCCAAGGCTGGGATAGATAAGGAAAAAAAAAAAAAAAAGTCCTGGGGTATGTAGTTCAACACAAGGACAGTCCCTGATGTGCCTTTGATCACCACTTTTTACAGGCTTGTATTTGTTTTTATATGTAATGCCCAAAGTTGGAGTTGTAAGTTTAAGGAATAGGGAGGAATATGTCTGTCTACTGTGTCTCCTGGAAGCCAAGCTCCCGTTGACATGTTTTTTCTCAAGGAGAAGTTGTGTTGACCGCAGCCCTGCCTGTTGCCTTTGACTGATTATGCTAGTGGAGCTGCACAGTGACGGCAGACCACGAATGCAAGGCCTGCAAAAGCTGTCATCTGGCTCCTATGGAAAGAGCTGTCTGCTCCAATAGCGCCCAGTTAGTGACAGTTGCAGAGTTTGAACCCAGGTGTTTGAGCTGCCTCCCCGTTGACTTCATGTTGTTGTTTTTATATATATTTTCAAAATTTGTATTTGCATCAGTGTTCTGCCTGCATGTATGTCTGTGTGAGGGTGTTAGTTCCCCTGGAACAGACAGTTGTGAGTTACCATGTGGGGGCTGGGAATTGAACCCAGGTCCTCTGGAACCCAGATCCTCTGCTCTTAACCGCTGAGTCACCTCTCCAGCCCCCATTTCATGTTTTTATTAAGTATTCTATTAGAATAGGCTGTGGTTGGTGAAATCACTATGTCCTTACGGATACAGTCACACAAGTTAAGACAGTTCATTTTGCATGTGCTTGGGTATGGAAAATGCCAAGGTTTTAAAACAAACATGAAATGTTTACATATCTTGTTTTTCTGCATGAAAAATATACATGGTGTGTGCATTTTCTGAATATTAAAAGAAAGTTTAAAAATTTGCTGTGGGGCTGGAGAAATGGCTCAGCAGTAAAGAGCACTGTCTGCTCTTCTGGAGGTCCTGAGTTCAATTCCACATGGTGGCTCACAACCATCTGTAATGTGATCTAATGCCCTCTTCTGGTGTGCAGGTGTACATGCAGATAGAACATTCATATACATTAAGTAACTAACTAAATGAATAAATAAATCTAAAAAAAAATTTACTGTGATTTATTTATTTCATTTCTTTTTGAGAATTTTTCTTTCCAGGTCTGTAAAGAATTGTGTTGGCAATTTGATGGGAATTGCATTAAATCTGTAGATTGCTTTTGGTAAGATGGCCATTTTTACTATGTTAATCCTGCCAAGCCATGAGCGTGGGAGATCTTTCCATCTTCTCATATCTTCCTCTAATTCTTTCTTCAGAGACTTGAAATTTTTTTCATACAAGTCTTTGACTTGCTTGGTTAGGGTTACACCAAGGTACTTTATGTCATTTGTGGCTATTGTGAATGGTGTTGTTTCTCTAATTTCTTTCTCAGCCCTTTTGTCTTTTGTATACAGGAGTGCTACTGATTTTTTTGAGTTAATTCTGTAACCGGCCACTTTGCTAAAGGTGTTTATCAGCTGTAGGAGTTCCCTGGTAGAGTTTTTGGGGTCACTCATGTATACTATCATATCATCTGCAAATAGTGATAATTTGACTTCTTCCTTTCCCATCTGTATCCCCTTGATCTCCTTCAACTGTCTTATTGCTCTAGCAAGGACTTCCAGCACTATGTTGAAGAGATATGGAGAGAGTGGGCAGCCTTGTCTTGTCCCTGATTTCAGTGGGATTGCTTTAAGTTTCTCTCCGTTCAGTTTGATGTTGGCTATAGGCTTGCTGTAAATCGCCTTTACTATGTTTAGATATGTGCCTTGTATCCCTGATCTCTCCAGTACTTTAAACATGAATGGATGTTGGATTTTGTCAAATGCTTTTTCAGCATCTAGGGAGATTATCATGTGGTTTTTTTCTTTCAGTTTGTTAATATGGTTTCATTTCTTTTTGAGATACTGTCTCACACTTAGGAACTCTTGTTGCTCCTCCTACCTCAGCCTTTTAAATGCTGGCATTATAGATGTGAGGCACCACACCTGCCCTTCTGACTTTTTATGTTTGCTTTTTGTTCTTGAAACCTTGATGTTGGTGGGCTTTAATTTTATAAACATTATATCACATTTTATATACTTTAATTATTACATTGTGTAACAATGGAGGATAAATTCTGATTTTTACCTTTAATTTAGAAGCCACAATTTCTTTATTTGTAATACTGTGGTTATTAGACTAGATGAGAGAATAAAGTTGTGTGCAGTCTAGAAACAGAACAGGAAGCTCCTTCTTTCCCCTGATGGTGATACTTTTTTATTACAAGAATAACATTTGCATGAAAAAAATTACAGACATTCCAAAAATGCTTGAAATGTTTTCAGCAGAAAGTGACAATCTACTGTGCAGTAGTCCCTCTTGATTTATATATTTAAAAATGCTAGATAGACTCATGCCATGCTTTCTTTTTATTTGGTAATATGTTAAATGGAATAACTTCTGAACAGTTACAACATTCCTTAATGTTTTGCATTTCAGTATCAAAGGCACACAAAGTTTGTAAATGACTATATTTTGTACTATGGTGGCAAAAGAGAGGATTTTAAACGGTTGGGGTAAGTATTGTGGGTAGGGCAAGAACGTATGATTTTCTAGGCCTTCTATTGTAAATCCCATGGCAACAGGTCTCAGGGAGCTTGCTCACCTATTGAACCAGGTATGATACTGGCAATAACAGTACACATGAGAAATGTTCTTGTGTCTGCAAAAATAAGGCAATGTCCAAGAGTCTCTTCCAACACTATAGGCTGTTGCTGTTGCCTTTGTTAGCTCCCTAGAGGTTGACAATAAGGCCCTACTGCTGAGGACACCAGACACTTAGACACAGGAGTCAGATGACCTGAGCTGGATCTGATCTGAAAGCCTCCTTCCTGAGGACTAGCTTTCATGGTACCAGAAGGTGCCATGCAAGTTTCCAGAGGAGGGAAGCAATCAACACATACATGCACATGTGTTTATGCACACGTGTGTGTGTTTAACAACAATTGAAAAACTGCCATGAATTTGAATGAGAGCAATGGGGAGGGTATGTCAGAAAGATTGGAGGGAGAAAAGAGAAGGAAAGAAATGATGTAATTATATTTATAATCCCACAAAGTAAAAACATTATTTAAAAAAATAAGGCAAACATGAAACTTCACTGTGGAATTTTCCACACATGAAAATTCTTCCTGTGTTGAGGCTGCTGGTCTTGCATGGATTTCTCTCTGAAATATTTCGGAGTAGGTAAGGCCCTAAAGACTGTAGCACTAATTCACTATCCCAATTTTATCTTCTCTATCCACTGAGCCCATACTGCTCAAATGTTTAGTCTAGTTCCAAACTGAGCATCTTTATTTTTCTTCCCTCTTTATTGTTCCTCCCAGGAAACTACTAAAATGATGTAACATTATACATTTTTGAGGGCTAGTTACTTGGATCTATTCTGAAATTTGTTTTCATTCACTTAGAGTCTATTTAGCTTTCTCGACCTTGCTTTGGCAGCAAAGTACCATTTGTATAATTAGACCACCTTAGAGATGAACAGATGTGGTTCTCTATTGAACCTGCTCCTTTATTGCATTTTTTTCTTAAGTAGCTTCTGAAAATAATGAAATAATGAAATAGTTCTTTTATGTAGAAATTTCCAAGTAGAACTATATTTTTACTTATATTTTTATTCAAGTTTTCAAAAATCTCAGCACTATTTAGTCTAAATCTGACTAATTTTGTTTTCTAGGGAGAATGATAAGACAGATCTGGATGTTATACGAGAAAATCATAGATTCCTATGGAATGAGGAGGATGAAGCAGATATGACTTGGTAATTATACTACATTATTCATATGTTTTGTGTGTATATGTGTGTGAAGTTCAGAGGACAACTGAAAAGAATGGTTTTCTTCTTGTACCATGTGGGTCTCATGGCTCAAACTCAGGTCATCAGAATTGGTGGCAGGAGCCTTTACTGGTTAAACTGTCTTGCAGTCTGATGGCTTGGTAATTTGAGTGATTAGCATCTAATGAAACAAATAGTTTAGTTTTGTTTTTCTTATTCTGTTTTCTCTTATTTTGTTTAAAGACATTATATATTTATAATTGTGTGCCTGTTTGTGTATATGCCACATATGTGTTTGGGAACCCATAGAAGCCAGAAGAGGGCATCTGATTGCCTGGATTTGGAATTACAGATGGTTGTGAGCCACCTAGCATGGGTGCTGGGAACTGAACTAAGGTCTCTTGAAGAAGAGCACATGGTCTTAACCACTGAGCCATCTCTCTAGCCTCAGTATGTGTTGTCTTAGTCATCATTTATCCATGGCATTCAGCATTTTCATAGGACAGTTTCTGAGTCAAGGATAGAAACCTACATTTAGTACCCTTGATTTGGTTTGCTTCCTTGGATGATCTTTGGCAATTTTAATTAACTTCTAATTATTTGACCTAGTCTCCAAAAATAATTGCACTATTGTTTGTATGTTTCTTATAAAATGTTTTGAATACTTAGGGAAAGAAAATACATGAAAGTAATTTTCAAAGTCTAGACATCACTAAAGGTAATAAATGAAAAGTAATTCTCTTTCTCATTTCTGTAAGTCCCCCAGTTTCTGGACAGTTCATGTCCACGCAGTCAGCGTGTCTGTCTGTATTAGGCCTCTTTTAACATTAATATTTATATCATATATGTTACCTTGATATTGCTTCCAAGTAGTAAACTGTGGTTGGATTTATGAATGAATAATACATACTTTTTATGGATTTAGGGAGAAGAGACTTGCAAAGAAATACTATGATAAATTATTCAAGGAATACTGCATAGCTGATCTCAGTAGATACAAAGAAAATAAGGTATGCCCTATGAGTATTTATAGTTGGAGCTCTTGTTCAAGTACTGCATTAATTTTTATTAACTACCATGACCCACATTATTCTTTGATGGCAATGATTTGAATCTGTTATCTTGCACTTTGAAACATCGTTTTGACTGCTTAACCTCTGAGGTCATGGGGTTTACAAAGGGTCTGCTGAATTTTTGAAGGACAGGATGCTTTGGGTTGGTGAGATTACCCAGAGAAGTCTGAAGTTACATACAGTTGGCAACTGGATTCCATCTGGCTCTCAACTTGAGCCTCTAGTGATTAAACACTACAGTGATGTCTCATTTCACAGATCATGTTTGAAATCAATAGCTTTTTGATTGATTGCCATTTATGGAGTGGCAGATGCACTTTTGTTACATAAAATTTCTATTTTGGTAAAACTAACTTTCAGTCTGTGCTAATTAGAAGTGGCAGATTCCCATTTCCACTTTACTTCTGTAATTATTATTAAAGCTATTTTTATTTCTAACTCAAGTTCCATAGTAACTAAAGAAGGTAGTCCAAGAGTGGATGATCTCAGCTGGAAATGTCAAAAGGAATGAGTGAATACTTATATGCTACTAAGAAAAAAAAAATGGATTTATAAACAGTTGTAGAAACTCTAAGAATTTCTCTTCATTTAGTTTGCTCTTTTTAGTGTCTTTAGTTTGTGAGTTGTTCTCTAGTTTTGTACAGACAGGATTGATAATTACTTTGCATAAGCCTGTTATAGATATATGTGGTTGCTGTAGCCCAAGACTTGTCAGTTTCTTATAAGTTAGTTGTGGATGCTGTTCATAGTGTTTCTCTGTACCACCTAACTACCATAACTGATCTGAAATTCCCACAACAACCAGGGTTATTTACAGTTATTGCACTGCAAACCAAGTCTGAAATACCTTCTTTCTAGAATCATGTGGCAAAGTAGCTGTTCAGCCATGGATTTTTTTTTTTTAATGGCAAGCTCCAGTATTTTTTTATTTCAAATTGCATTGTACACTATATAGTGACTGCCCTTCAGAAAAACCTGCAGTCTTGTTGGGTGTGATGGTGTATGAGTGTAATCCCAGCACTTAACAGACAGGATTGTTGAGTTCAAGGCCAGCCTAGGCTGCATAGCAAGTTTGAGGGAGATCCTGGTTCAAAACAAACAACAAAACAAAACAAACAAACCCCAAAACAAAAAAAAAGCCGTGGAGAACAGATGTACACAAATAAAAGGGTTTAAAGTCTCTATTTAAATCGTATTTCCAGAAAGATGGCTCAGTGGGTAAGAGTGCTTGCTGAGGAGTCCTCCAGACCTGAGGACCAGTTTGGATCTCAGCACTCAAGTAACAAGCCAGGGACTCACGCACGCACGCGCGCGCGCACACACACACACACACACACACACGCACGCACACACGCACACATCCATGTACTCCCACCTGTACCTCCCTACCCCCTCAGTACCAGCCCTGATGTGCTCAGAGATAGGAGGATCTCTGGGGCTTGCTAGCCTCCATCTTAACTTTCCCTCCCCACCCTCCCCCCAGATTGCTAGCCTGAGGGTCAGTGAGAGACCCTGTTTCAAAGGAATAAATAAAGAATGATAAAGTAGGACACTTACTGCACTCTTCTGGCCTCTCTGTGGCATACCCCGTACACACAGTGCATGTCCTCATGTGACTGTCTTAAGGAGAATAATTTTGATAGAAATTCTGTGTTGTCACAGTATGCTGAGTAACTGCATATGAGATGAAGATATGTGCTAATAAGAAATCAAATATGACTTGGGTTTGAGTGTGGAAATGAGAGAAATAGGAAGTTTGGAGGGAATATATTTTGGGGATGTAATGGGTCTGTGTTCTAACATAGCATGTTTGAAGTGTTGGAGAAAGTTTAACTTGTGCTGCGGTTCCAGTTTTAGGATGCGTTTTCTCTTAGCTTTGTTTACACACATAGTGCTTCATTCACTTTGAATGAGCCAGCTCTTAATTCAGTGCCTAGTGTTATAGTAGATACTGACGGCACTTCTAGTGGCTCTTCCTTTGTTCTACATTCCTGTTTCTTTGAAAAACTTTTCCTAATTGAGAATGTACGTTGGTTCGTCTGTCAACTAAAATTAGATTCAGGCACGAGAGAGAGAAAGAGGGAGGGAGAGAGAGAGAGGAGAAACACTGCCATAAATGAGCCGAAAGGTATTTTTCTTTTACAAAAAATTCAAGTTGATGGGTTCTGTGTTGTAGGAAGTAGGGTTCAAGACCAAGCCTTGAGTAACTGGGTTAGCAGTTGAATCTAGTGAGAAGAACTGAGTATGAGGATACAGAAGTTAGGTAGGATGACACAGTTCAGTGTCTTATTCCCCATAAGAGTGTAACTCTTGGTGATGGTATTGCTTTATAAAGATTTATTGTTGTATTGGATTACTTGTTTTTTTGTTTTCTGTGTATCAACGTTGGCCTGCACATATGTATGTGTACTACATGGATGCATTGTGCCTGTGGAGACCAGAGGAGAGTATCATATTCCTGTGGAGAAATGCATGGTTGTGTTCTGCTCCATGGATACCGGCAACACCACTAAGCCCTCTTAATAGCTGAGCCATTTCTTCAGTCCTGTTTTCTCTTCAGAGATTTAACAGATATTAACTTAATAATTACCTGTTATTCTCATTTGAATACCAAGTCCAATAAGTAGTTGCTTAGCAAGCATATTTGTTAAATAGATTAATGAGTGAAAGAAAAGTTTTGGGAAACTGTTGCTAGTAATGCATTTGGCTTTGTGTTTTAATAGATATTCCCAGACAATGTTGAATGGCACGCACTCTACACACATATAAAGCTTAAGCATACAATGAAACAGAGGTTTGTTTTTTGTTTTTTTTTTAAATAACTTTTTTTTTTTAAGCACTTTTCAGTCAACGTTATTTCTCCACAGACTTGGAGAATTTTATTTTCATTTGCGTTTTAACCAGAAAATTTAGACATTTTTTGAATCTTCATATGAATTTAAGATATAAATTTGAAAAATTAAGAAATAAATGATTAAAAACTTAAATGGAAAGTTAAAAGAAATTGAATGTTTTATCTGAACTTATTTTGCTCTTTTGTTGTTTTAATGTGTATGGCCGTTTTGCCTGCATATGTATCTGTGTGCCACCTCTGTGCAGTGCCTGTGGAGGAGGAAGGTGTCAGGGCTCCTGAGCTAGACTTGCAAGCAAGCTTGAGCTGCTTCATGGTGCTAGGAGTTGAACCCGGTTGTCTGCAAGAGCAGCCAGGGCTCTCAGCACTGAGCCATCTCTCCAGCCCCCTGAACCCACCAAGGTACACTAATCCTGTAGGACTAACATGTCAAAGTAGTGCTCTCGGCCAGAGTCACAGTTCTTTGTTCTTGTCAGTACCGTATACAACACATAAAATATGAATGCAGGTGTTTCCCTGGCTCGACACCTGTAACCTTTAGGGTATTTTAAAAGTGATTTTTAACAGAGGTTGGTAATTGTCAGGCGGTATCCTCAGGTTTCTATAAAAAGAGAAAAAGCAATCACATTTATAATTAAGCTTTTTTTCAGGTTGAAAATTTTATCTTCTTGGCTTTATGTTCAGGTGTGTGTGTGTGTGTGTGTGTGTGTGTGTGTGTGTGTGTGTGTGTGTAATTTAAATTTTATATATCCATTTATTTTCATATAAACATAAACTTTCTTACCAGTTTGGATTTAGGTGGCGAATAGAAAAAGAAGTAATTTCGGGAAAAGGTAACTTTAAATTTTTTTTTTACTTTCTAATATAACACAGCTTATTTTGTTATATAGAATTGAAATCATCCATGAGATTTTTTTCTGCTGTAGACAATAAATTATTATTATAAAAATAAGTTAGGGAAAATTTATTTCTAATAAATATATTATTAGCAAAGATCAGAATTTAATGCTTTCTTGACTTTTCCTCTAGAATTAGGCATTTAGAAGATATGTGGAAAATGTTATAGGAATTAAAGATTTAATGACAGGAAACAAATGAGTGCTTGAGTACCAATTATAATAAAATATTGATAGTACTATATTCCAAAAGAAATCAGTATTTTAAGGGTAGAAGTCAATATCACATGCGAACTCAATAGAAGTTTTATACAGACTAGTCCTAGATTGAGCTCAGATATTTAGTCTTATATCAAAAGATCAAACATTCAGGGTAGTCAAGGGCACTCCAGTTCCAGGGGATTGCAAGCCTTCTGACCTCTTCCAGCACCAGGCATTCCTGAAGTGCACACATAGAAATGGCAGGGATTTTTTTTTTTTTTTTAAATGAATGATTGAAGGCACTGTGGAGGAAAAGGAAAGAGAATGAATTTAAAGCAGCTCTCGCGTCAGTGAGGTGGTCAGTGGGTAAGGACACTTGCCAGGCCAACCTAGCAACTTCAGTTCGATCCCTGGAAGCTAGAGTAGAAGGAAAGAACTCACTGAGCAAAGCTGTCCTCTGACCTCCACATGCAAGCAATACACACACTCACACAGGAATGCACTCACGGGCATGTGCGCACCCCCACCCCACCCCACACGCATACCACAAAATACTAAACTTTTTTGGTTTTGTTTTTCAAGACAGGGTTTCTCTGTATAGGCCTAGCAGTCTTGGAACTTGCTCTTTGAATCTGGCTATTCTGGAGTTTAGAGATCTGCTAGCCTCTGCCACCTGAATTCTAGGATTTAAGGCGTGTGATGCAGCCAGCCAACATCACCTCTGACCTCCCCACTCTCCCACCCTCAGCTGAAAAATTAGGCATTTAAAAAATAAGGCAATGTAAAAACATTTTAAGGTCAGTTTTATTTTGTATCTTTACCTAAAATAATGAGAAATCTGAAATGTCTTTCACTAATAAAAATATCTGTATTAATTTTGTCAAGTAGAATTTTTAGGAAGGTATATAAAACTGCCCTTTAAAAAATTGATAGGCATTCTCTGAGTTCATAAGTGAATAGGACTAGTTGGGAAGCAGAGAGCAAGCTGCTGTGCTGTTAAAACAGTGTTGTGTGTAACAGCCATTACTAAACATGCTAAACGTGCATGTTTAATTAGCTCTTCATTTGGGATGACTTTTAAAGTCATTCTGGGACTTCCTTACACATGCCGTAGCGTGACATGTATGCACACACACATACACACACAAATGTAAATAAAAGTTTAAAAATTGTGTTTTAAATTCAAGTCATCCTCTGCTAATAGTAAGTTTGAGTTTAGTCTATGCTACATGTGATAGCTCCTGTTTCAAAAGACTGAGTTACAAATTAGCCTTTAAGGTGCTGGCAGATTTTTGTGTTTTGTGAAAAAGATTTTGTGGTTTCTATTTGTTACACTTGGTACAAATAACTGGTGGAAAGTGTTCTTTGAATAAATCATTTTCATTTCTCTCTTTGTCTCTCTCTCTCTCTCTTTTTTTTTTTTTTTTTTACCAAACAGATAATTTCGAGCTGTTTCTTCACCTCCAAAACATTAGTTTTTGTTCTCTCTTAGTTTTTAGTATATTTATGATAGAGCAATGGGGTGTTAAAATAATCAGGTTTAAGTTTTTAAAGTGTTTTTCATGAATATTTTTGTTAGAATTTTAAGTAAATGATGTAATAATACTTGGAACCATTAATTTTAACATTGCAGTTGAATACTGAAAAAACTCACATCTAAGATCATATATTTTAGGAAATGATCTCTCCTTTCAGGGTTTTAGTGAGTACACTTAATATTTTCACTTTCCAAAGTGAGATTCTCTAATATGGGCTCACTAAAATTCTATTTAAGTAAACAGTTTATCACCAGGAATTCTGTGAGTGTTGTTTTGTTTCAAGAGTTCTTCAGCCAGGGCTGGTGGCACAGTCTCGTGGCTGAGACAGGATATTTGTAAGTTCTATAGAACAAGTTTTAGGCCAGCCTAGGTAATGTAGCAAGCAAGCAAGAAATAATAATAATAATTTTTTTTTAAAAAAGACCTGGGATTGGCTTAGTGGTAAAGCAAATGCTTTGCATTGTAAGACCCTGGGTTCAGTTCCCATTGCAAAAGAAAAAAAAAATCCCTTTGACTTCATACTTAGATACATGCATGCTATAGTTATGGTGGTCAGTTATCTTTAATGCTGAGTTTGTTAACATTTATTACAATTATTTTACCTTTTTTTTTTTTCCAGAGCTGAGGACTGAACCCAGGGCCTTACGCTTGCTAGGCAAGCACTCTACCACTTAACTAAACCCCCAACCCCTATTTTACCATTTTTAAAAGAAAATATTAGAAATAATAGGTTTACAGGAAAATCATATCATGTACAATGGCTGATAGTGCTTTCCTTTTGCAGGTCAGTTTTTTTGTGGAAATAAGTGTTGTGATGAAAAAGAAGGCTTGAAGAGCTGGGAAGTTAACTTTGGTTATATTGAGCATGGTGAAAAGAGAAATGCACTTGTTAAATTAAGTAAGTTGTGTTTAGTGGAGGTATTGTTATTTTTTTCCAAGGTTATCTTTATTTTAGGACTGTAGCCTATTTACAATTCAATTTTAAAAGGGTTAATATGTTTTTCTGAAAGTATTCTTTTTCCCTAATACCTCAAATAAATTTTGAACCTAAAGTTTTTAGCATTATGGTAGCACTTTGATAAAATAATTCTTATGTCAAACTTCAGCTGGTAACTTGTAGAGTGAAGATGTCACAAGCTTGAGAATGATACTAGATTATGTATCTAAGTAACAGTATCAGAAAAGGCAAGGTAAACCTTATGTCTGATTGTGTAGCCGTATTGTGGTGGTGACAGTAAATACATTTTCTCTTTGACAGTGAGTGAACATTTTGGGAAAGTATTCTTTTAAAGAAGGTTTTTACTTAACATATTAATTTTACTTAATGATAGGTTTCACTGTGACATTTTTATGCCTGTATATATTCTTCTTCATTAGTCCTTTTACCTCCATGTCTTTTTTTTTTTTTTTTTTTTCTTTTTTGGTACCCCATGACTATAGTTAGGCTTACATAAGGAGCATGATGAAGGATTATTTGTAAGAACATGGATAATATTTACCAGTGGCTATACCACTGAGGAAATCTTCAGGGAGGTGCAGATCCTCATGAGTCTCCCCCACCCTGACAATGATGGAATGTTCATGCATTTATTTGTCTGCACATCACTGTACAGGAGATGGTAGCTGCTGGGAGTTCAGGGGTGTAGTAGTTATGTCATGCTCACCAGTCTATTTAGGAAAACAATAGCAATTACTTCCCTACTAGAAACAGCCACAGGCTCCTGATTTACAGTAAGATTTACAATACATGTGCATTTCCTCCTGTAGCGTGAGCCTTAAATACTATCCCAAATCAATTGTTCACCCCATAACAGTCATGCCAGTATCACATCAGTGAGCACATCTTGCCAGGAAGATGGTTTGAGTAGCACGAAGGATTCACTGCTGAGTAAGACCATTGATGACAATTCTCCCTTAACCTACATAGTACCATCCGGCACTATGAGACCTAGCTTGTAGAGAGGAAGCTTCTGTCCCTATTTCAGCTTTATTTCTCACACAACCAACGCATATAACATCCTCATTAGAGCCTTACCTTCTGGTCCTGATGGACAACTAACATCAGCAGTACTAGTCAGGATTATTTAAAAGTATAGAGATGGGTCGGGAAGATGGCTCAGTGGGTAAAGGCACCTGCCATCAAGCTAAACAACTTAATTTATTCCCTGGAACCCATATGGTGGAAGGTGACAACTGACTCTGTAACTTGTTCTTTGATGTCCCATATACTCAGCTGTGATGTACGAGTCCCTTGCCACAAAACAGATAAAATGTAATTCAGAATACATGTAGTGGGGCTGGAGAAATGGCTCCGAGGTCAAGAGCACTGGCTGCTCTTGAGGACCTGGGTTTGATTCCCAGCAGCCACGTGATGATTTAAAACCATCTGTAACTCCAATTCCCCAGGTTGGTGCCGGGTCCCATCTGTTTGAACTTGTACTGGTCCTAGGTGTGCTGTCTTTGTGAGTTAATATGTGTATCAGCCCTATTGGAGCTGGAAACAGTTTTAAAGATACTTCAGAAAAAATGTTCTCCATTGTGTTTCATAGGCAGAATTAGTACCTGACATCAAAAATACCTCTTAATACATTAACATGATATAATAATAATATGCATATAACAATAATAATTATTACTTGGGTATAGCCATCTCCTCTGAAGTACTCAAAAACTTTCAAATAGAAAAAGAATCTTCAAATGCTTCCACTATCATGACCTCTTCTTTTCCCTAATCTCATTCCAAACCGCTGACCTTTCCAGAAAGCACTTCTAAAAGGAACCCAGGAACCAGTCTGTGCTGACAGCACATGGGTAACTGATTGTTTCTATCAGGAGTGGAAGGAAAACTGAAGATTTATTAACGAGCCAGAAAAAGCTGATGTCTGTAACAGTAAAGAAGGAGGGAAGCATCTGAAAGATGAAAACTAGCTTTAAAAGAGAAAAGTGTACTGCTGTAAACCAGGGTTATAGAAAACTGCTGTCTGCTGGCACGCTCCAGGTTCATGGGGTCATGCTAAGAAAGTCAGAGAGCGCAACACTCAAAGCAATGCTTATCTCTAAACTCCTTTCTTAAAAAAGGTTGTATGCATGGGGTTTTTTTTGTTTGTCTGTTTGTTTGGTTTTTTTTTTTTGTCTACACATATGTCTGACCATGTACATATATGATGATAACTGTGGAGGCCATATTATTTCTTATATATAGTAAAGGGTATAAAAAAACATAAATTCTAATTAACATAGAGAAGCAATATAATTACACAGATTCAGAAGCTCAGTGGTGTATTTTTTTTTCTCTTTTAGGATTATGCCAAGAATGTTCCTTTAAATTAAATTTTCATCACAGGTAATTTTTCTTTTAAAATATCATTTTTGATGTTTAGTAACCCGGGCCATACTCATTTTGTTGTATTGAGTATCTGAATCTCAGTCTGGATTTAATTCGTTGTTTAGAAAATAAAGCATCATTGTGTGATCCATGGAACTGGAGATTCAGTCTGCCCTGATGGCGCCAAGCAAGTTTCTATGTGAAGATCTGTGTGGAGCAATAGTTACCTTTTAGAAGAGTTGTTAGTTTGGAGCCAATGGCCAAACACTGTAATAGTCTTAGAAATGATGTTTTAAAGCTGGCTACATAGAATGGTGTGTTCCTACATTCATGGGTTTCTTTGGAAGTCAGAGAAGGACATTGAGTGCTGTGCTTTCTGATTTTCTCAGCATTACTCACTTAAGGTCTCATTGAACCTGGAGTATGCCATTTTTTACTAGTCTGGCTGACAAACCATAGAGATCCTCCTGCCTCTGGTCTCCACCTTCCTGCCCTTAAGCACTGAGCTTATTGGTGAGGATAGTCACCTGACATTTACATGGACTCTTGGGATGCAAATTCAAATCCTCATGCTTGCCCTGTAGACTCTTCCCTACTGAACCATCTCTCTAGTCACTTTTGTGACTGTTAAACAGACAGTGAAATAGATTTCCTCAGTGATAACAGCGACACTGGTAAAAGCAGGCTTCTGTCTGCTAAATTGAGTGAGTTAGTACCACTGGCCTGTACCATGCCGTTCAAGTGAGATCATTGCCTTGCCGTGGTTTTGTTATTTGCTTATTGTTGTCATTTTTTGTTTGCTTGTTTTGTTTTTGAGGCAGGCTAGCCTTCAACTCATAATGTACCTGAGGCTAGTCTCAAATGTATGATTCTCCTGTTTCATCCTCTTGAGTTCTGGGGTTATAGGTATATGCCACCACACCTGGCTTCAGATCAGTTTATTATAAACATGTCTACATAGTGTTTCAGCTGCTACAGATAAATAATAATTTCTTAAAATAAGCAGGATTTTTTGTTACTTGAGTAACAGCCTCAACCTTAATTTCCTCTCTCTGTCAGTGATGGTGAGGGATACTGGGGGTATTTTATGACGTTCCCTTTTGAGTGTTATTTTCAAATTGAGAAGACTTTGATAAAAGAACACATGGTTAACTGCATGGGTGCCTTAATCAGAAGTCTGTTGAATACATATTTGAGAGTGGTTTTCTTGTGCTTCTTAAGCAATTAAAATTAATTGCATTTTACCTATTGTACTGACCAAATTGTAAATCTGGCCTAGAAGAGGTAAAGCCAGAGCAATAAGAAGGCAAATTACAAGTTGTCTGCATTGACATATGAGTTAAAAATAAGCATTTTCTATCTCTACTGTAGGATACTTTTACTATAGTCTTTATTCCAAGAGGAGAGCATCCTCTCACTGTGGCTTAGACCTATCCCAGCACTTGCTTCTCACTTGCTTCTCAGTGCTCCGTGGATATGAGTTATGTTCTGGGAAAGGGAATGGACATAAAAAGGATTGAATAAAACTCAGATTTACTAGTTTACATAGAGAACTTACAAAATAGTTTTTTGGTCTCTGTTTAGCTTTATTATTTTACAGAATTATCTTAGTTCGTAATTAACTTAAACTATTTACGTACTCTAGCCTGTTGGTAATGGTACACACCTTTGATCCCAGCACTCAGGAGGCAGAGTCAGGTGTATCTCTGTGAGTTTGAGGCCAGCCTGGTTTACAGTGTGAGTTCCAGGGCAGCTAAGGTTACATGGAGAAACATTATTTCAAACAAAACAAAAGAATGTGCATACTCTCTCAAGGTTCTTATTCTATAAATTACATGTACTTTAACTTTTAAGTTCCCTGATATATTTGGTCCTTGTGGAGCTCCTGTCCTCTCCAGGTCATACTAACTCTCCCTTCTTTCATATGATTTCCTGTACTCTGCTGAAGGTTTGGCTATAAGTCTCAGCATCTGCTTTGATACACTGCTAGGTAGAGTCTTTCAGAGGCCCTCTGCAGTAGGCTCCTGTTAGTTGTTTTCTCCTACTTCCAATTTCCATCCCATTTGTCTTTCTAAGTGAGGATTGATCATCTTACCCGGGTCCTCTTTCTTGTTTATCTTCTTTAGGGGTATAGATTTTAGTATGTTTATTCTATCTTATAGGTTTAGTACCCACTTATAAGTGAGTATATACCGTGTGTGTCTTTCTGCTCCTGGGATACCTCACTCAGGATGATTTTTTCTAGATCCCACCATTTGCCTGCAAATTTCATGATTTCCTTGTTTTTAATTGCTAGTAGTAAGGACCAAATATATCAGGGCACAGAGGTCTTCTATGAGACTATTTCTCCAACCAAGGACCATGTATGGATATAACCTAGAACCCCTGCTCAGATGTAGCCCATGGTAACTCAGTATCCAAGTGGGTAGCCTAGTAAGAGGAACAGGGACTATTTTTGACTTGAACTCAATGGCTGGCTCTTTGACCAAACCCCTCCTCCGCAACACCCGAGGGAGGAGCAGCCTTCCTAGGCCACAGAGGAGGACATTGCAACCAGTCCTGAAGAAACCTGATAATCTAGGGTCAGATGGAAGGGGAGGAGGACCTCTTCTATCAGTGGACTTGGAAAAGGGCAGGGAAGAGATGAGGGAGGGAGAGTGGAATAGGGACGGAATGGGGGAGGGGGCTACAGCTGGGATACAAAGTAAATAACTATGGTTAATATAAAAAAATAAAAATTAGAAAAAATTCATTGGATTTTTTTTATAAAATTGGTTGGAAAAATTAACTTCAATATTATGTTCTTTAACATAAAGGAGAAAAGAAATCAAGTCAAAAAAAAGAAAGGCTAAAAGCAAGACTGAGTGTGACCAGTCACCGTATAAGAAACCCAGATCATCCTCAGAGGAGGAGGCCTCCAAGGGGAAGAATGAAGGTAAAAAGGGCCAAGAGCTCCTCACTCTGAGTATAGAATATAGTCCACTGCAGTACAAATGAGACTCTAGCTGGGGATGCATTTAGAACTTCGTTTTATAGCAAGTGAAAGGAAAGTGGCCAAGAATTCAGATGTGAGTTTAATAGGACTTTAAAGAACAAATTGATTTTTATTCCTTTGGGGCATATTCTGTAATATTATGAAACACTGCAAACAGTGTTCAGGTCCTGCCATATCCAAGCCTTGTAATTTGGATAAGACAGTGACTCTCTTGAGATTACTTTCTCCATGTATGCTAGGGTAATGTGAACACCTACCTTCATATTTGTCAAGTTTGAGAAGAGTCAAATGAGAATGTGATGGCCTTCTGAGAAATGCAGAGCAGTTTTTCAGGCTGTCATTTGATCTCAGATCATGATTACAGAAGCTATCTTACAGGATTATGAGAAAGGTTTAGATAATTTATTAAGCAATTTGAATAATGCCTGTCATGTAATTAGCTGTTATGAAGGTTACTTCCAGTTGCTTTTTCAGCAGCAGCAGCAGGAGTTAATTGCCTATAACTTCTACTGAATCAAACTTGAAACAAGGTGGGCAAGAGTGAACTAAATGTAACCCAATGTTGATATAATATCTGGACAGGAGAGGGCTCCCTTGCTCTAGAAAGGTACATTCTTCTATGCATTTTTTTCTTGCATATCATGGTGGCCATGCAGTTAAAATATGTAGTTCAAGGTACTATATACTGGAGTGGGTGGATGAACTGTTAGAAGAACTGCTCTTTTCTTGTTTATTAAGAATTGTCATTTGAAGCTGAAAGCCTTTTCATGTCTAAATTACTTCATAACTTGAAAGTAATTATCAATTAATAAGTTAATAAATGAGAACATATCATCTGGGTTTAAAAATTTGTACTTATTCTAGTATATACAATAAATGCCATTTGAAAATTTGGTTATATCTATCATTGCATTAGTGATATTGTTATCTTTTTATTGTAATCATACCATGTAATCATGGCTTATTCTAAATTAAGGAAGAGCTCATCTCTACCTAGACCTTTTTAATTTAGCATAAACTTGAATAATGATTAAACATCATAGTTGTATCTGGACAGTTGACACTCCTGGTTTAATCCCTAGACATCCCTTGCCCCCTTATGTGAAACATGTGAAACATGTTACCATCATGGAAGGTGCTGAGTGAGTGAATGGCTGGGTGGAAGCTGAATGCCACATGGCAGAATGAATTTGTAAAGAGAAAACAAAGACAAATCATTAGCTTGTGTTTGAATCTATTGATTTTGTGGTTTGAAGCTCTATTATTGTGGTTTGCTTTTGCAAATAAGGAAGAACAAAATACTTAGGTATAGAAACAGTTTCTTAGCCAAAGATTCAATATCTTCTGGCCCCATTTCCCTTTCTCTCAGCTACTTCACCTTTCACGTTTCACTTCAGCTCAATTGGAAAGGCCCTCGTAGGCCCTTCTTAGTAATGTCTATCTCACTTCCCCCAAACAGAGTAGATCCTTATTATACATTCTAAGTGCACCCTGCACTTGTTTAGAAATTCATAAGACTCTTGAAATAATTCACTTTCTGTGAGAGAAGGGATTGCATGCCCATTTAACTCATCTCCAGTTGCTAAGACCATAGGCATTTGCCAGACAATAGGTGAAAGGAATCAGTGAATTCTCATAGTTTAAGAAATTCCAGAAGTCTGTCCTGTAATCATAATTAAAAAGATGTTCTACAGTTTTACTTTTCAAATTTCAGTGCCCTAGCCAGTAGCGATCAGCTGTCAGTTGGTCTGAAGTCACTGTCTGGGACCCCTGTGGTCTGTGGGTCCTCACACACAGACAAGTGTAGGAGAGGCTGTGCCCTGTGGTATGTGCTTCAGCCTTGCAGGGAAGAGGAACCACCCCCACCACAGTAACCTGCATAACCTGCGCATGTCATATGTAGTGATTGCTAGCAGGTTTTCCTTAACATTTGGCCCCAGCCTACACTTTCCCACTGTGCTTCTACTTAGGTCAGTGGGCTTGCAGGGTAAGCCCAACCTTTCCACCTACTTTTCAAAATCCCATTTGTCTTTACCCTGCACTTCTTGTACCCACTTTAGCCTCTAAAAGACAGAAACTCAGGCTTTTTGGCCCCATCATCGAGTTCTGTTGGGGTGTTGTTTTGTCATTTATACTTTTTTGTTTTATCACCATCCAGAATAGAGTGGTAATTTAAAATATAGATAGCCACGTGGTGGTGGTGCACACCTTTAATCCCAACTTTTGGGAGAAAGGAGCAGGCAAGCTCTATGTGAGTTTTAGGCCATTATACAATATATGTATTATGTAATAGTATTTTATATGTATATATATTACATATATACATGTACACAAATATATGCAGATATGTATATATTTAATACAATATATATACACACACCAATAGATCTTCTGTATATTTTGCTTCTTATCTTTCTCAATAACTCTTTCAAAGATGAAATTTTTAACTTTTTTTAACAAAATTTCTTTAATACTTGCATATGACTGCAAACAAAGTTGGCTGAGGATGTGGCTCAGTGGTGGAGCACTTGCCATATGGAAGGGAGAAGCCCTAACTCCTCACCACTTCCCATTTCTCCTTGCGTATGGCCTTGAAAAAATTCTGTGCAAAATAAAAATACGTAAACTGTGTTCAGTGAAAGGGCTGAACATCTCCACAAAGTAAAATAAATTTATTTTATTATTATTATACAAACTATGAAGTGAGATTTTTCAAAGGCTTTCAGTTTTTAAATTTTAAGTTAGCTACCTCAGGCTCTATGAACATGTAAGATGATCTCTATCTAAAAGGACCTAACATTTTAATTGAGGAGCTAAGACTGAAGGACCTGAAGGATTAGGAAATAGTTGAAGGACTTCTTCTTTTTCTTTTTGCTTGCTTGCTTGCTTCCTTCCTTTCTTATTTTAGGATAAGAAAACCAAATTTGGGAAGAATTTATGGTTTTAGCTACAACTATCAATACCACTTGAAGATGATGTTTGGTAAAATTATATGGTTTTCTTTTCAGGACAGTCATCCTCAAAAAATTCAGAAGAATCTAGCAGCAGTAAGTATCACACTTAGAAATATATAGATTCAAAGCATTTATAATTTAGTTTTTTTTTTTAATTTATTTGTATCCTGCTCTGATATGAATTGTATTTGTTTTTGTACAACCTGAGAAGAATCATAAAGGACAAAAAGTAAATATTTACTCTTCAACTAAAAATAATTAAAAGTTTCTTATGTAATTATAGAACACATCAGAATGTTTTCTTCAGTAAATATCATGAATATACGTTTCACATTGTACAATACACAGGAAGAGAAATAAGGATAGGGTTGGAATGGGAAAGGAAAGAGAGTTAAGACTTAAAGAAAATTGCTTAGTTTACATGAATCTGAGTGTCCCTGTGGTGGTTTGGATTAGACAAATAGAGTGTGGGTCTCGTGTGAGAAGCTGTTGCTGTGAATGTGCTTTAGTTTTGTTTTCATTGATTTTACTGAATAATTGCTATAAATTCTGTATCTCCCATGAAATGCTCCCCAGAGTGTTCACAATGGCTTACAAAAAGTATGTAAGGTTGTTTTAAAATTAGTGATATAAAAATAATGGGAAAAAAGGTAGACTAGCAATATAAAGGTAGAGGCAAAATTGCATTCCTTTACCAAAGCATGTCACATGACTGCAAAGGCATACCACAACTGTGTCACTGTTCTCCTGTAGCCATAGCCAGTAATGGGATCGCCAGCAGAATGAATAATGCCCTTTTGAAATAATAAAGAGATCACAGTGCTTATTTAGCTTTTTCCTGGCAGCTTTGAGAGAAGACTCTCCTGTAGGATTAGAAAAGAGGGCATTCATTCCTTTTTAACCTCTTTTTTAGACTCTGTGATTGAAAAAAAAAACTATTGTTTTTTTCAATTGTAAAGGTTTCTTTTTATTATTTGTTAAATTATATGTGTGAGTATACCTACCTGAGTACAGGTGCCATTGAAGTACAAAAAAAGGGCATTGGTTCTCTTGGAGCTGGAGTTACAGATGGTGGTAAGCTGCTCAGTGTGGGTGCTAAACTCAGGTTCTCAGAAAGAGTAGTACTCACTCCTTACCACTGAGCCAACTTTTTAGTGCTGTTCCTTCCCTCCATTTGTAAAAGTTTTATTTTTATTATTTAAAAAATTAATTATTATTTAAAAATTAATATATATATATATATATTGAGATAAGGTCAGTCTATTCTTGAATTCATAATCCTTCTGTCTCAGTTGCCCATATTTCTAGAATGATAAGCATATGCCACTGGGCCCAGTTAGAGGACATCCATTTGTAATGCATTAAGCTCTAGGCTATTCGTTAGATGCCCTGAGAACCAGAGAACTCAAGGGTATTATCAATACTAAATAGTTAATATCAAAGATAGGGTTAGATATAAGTTTATAGTCTCCAACTCAGTGTCATTTTGCTCTTACTATCAAAATAACTTTATTATGGGTGAGTCAAATGGAAGCGTATTATTTACATTGTAATTTTGACAATTAGATAGATGATAGGTAGGTAGGTAGGTAGGTAGGTAGATAGATCTGTCTTAAATGTTTGATCTGTCCATGTCTTGCTTCTTTTGCAGAATGTGTGTATATAGGCCAGCTTTATTGAATTATTGTCAAAAGAAAACACATAAAGTCTGTGTCTCACACAGAGAAGTCCTTGATAACCTGTAGCTCTGTTGCAATGCCAGCAAAAAGAAAACTGCCAGACATTAAACAGAGTCTGTATTTACTCTCTAGAATTGATCAAAAATTAATACCCGTCATTTATTACAGTTATTAGAGACATTCACCATTTCTTCGGTGTTTTTTAGTTATCATATAATATCCATAAAGTGGAGGCATTTGGAAGAACCCAAAGCGTTAAGGACTGTACACTAAGCAGAAGCTTGAGCAGATCAAACTCAGAGCAGCCAGTGTGCTGTAGAACTGAAATTGTGCCATGGGAAGAATGTTGGCGCAACGACAGATGTTTAGTTCGGAGAAAGGTGAAGGAGTGAGAGGGAGGATGAGGACATAGAAATTGGAGTGTTCGGAGGCTGTTATTAGGTGGGAGGTTTATTTTTGGTGATTGGCTCACAGAACTAGAGTCTATAGATAAAAGTGGCCTGAAAACAGTTTTGCCTCAGTTTAAGGAAAACTGTCACTTGGAATTCTCTGACAACAGGAATAGAGGAAGTGAGATGTCTCAGAAGACAAATCGGACACTGCTTGTTACTGGAAGTATTATAATGAATGAAAAGACTGCAGAGACAGTAGAGCAGCAGGTTGTAGCTCGTATAAGCAGATAAAACCTAATGATCTGCGTTTGATCCTTGGAACTCATGTTCTCTGACCTGCACACATGCACGGTGGCATGTTCACAGTACATCTGCCATAGACACACACACAAACATACACATGCACACAAAGCAAAAGTGAAGAAAACAACTACAGGTTATTCCAGTTCTTGCCCATGATTACTGCAGAGATTCGACAGGGGTGGTGTAAGGTCATGGTGTATTGTCATCCTCAGCAGTATTTTTTGCTCACCCCAGGCCAGTGGTTGTAGTTGTAACAATATTGTAGTGACTCACACCCTCAGGGAACCCGGAAGTTTTAGACTCTAGGGTGAAGGAACGTCACAGATCATTTAGTCTAGTCTCATAGATTTGATTCTCTGGGGTAATTTGCCCACTTTTTCAATATATACTCTTTCAGAGGATTTACTTAAAGATGATTTAACTTTTAAAAACTAAGCTTTCATTACCTGTTATCAGAAATGCTCAGGGACGGGGCAATGGTTTTCTTGGTACAGTGCTTCCATGAAAGCAAGAGAAATGACATTCAGTGCTCAGAGCCCACATTAAAAACTGGGCCAAGGTCAGCTCAGTGGTGAAGGTGCTTGCCACCAAACCTGACAGCTTTAGTCCTGGAGCTTACGTGGAGTGGGGGAGAACTGAGTTGCACAGCCTGTTGTCTGGCCTCCGCAAGTGCAAAAACAAGTGGTCCAGGTGGGAAGTACACACCTTCAATCCTAGTGCTGGGGAGGCGGAGACTGACAGATCGCCGTCAGCCAGCTACACCTGTTTACTGAGTTCAAGGCCAGTGAAAGACTGCTTCTCAAAAACAAGGTGGACAACCCCTAAGGAACAACACTGGAAGCTGATCTTTGGCCTCCATGTATGTACATGCATCCTATACCTGTACACACCATACACACAGACAATATAGAGAGGACTGTAAGAAAGCTGACTTGTACAAGTAAATCAGGGTAAACAACAGAGCAGCTCATAGTGTAAGACGTTTTACAATCAGTGCTTGTTTTTAAAGGCCACATGGGTTCTGTTCTCTAACATCTTACCAATAATGCCATAGGGATAACTTATTGGGCATAATCAGATTTTCTATTCTTTCTTATCTTGCTGAGTGGAAGATTTAGTTCAGGACACTGGGAACGGTAGTGATGGCTGTCACGCAATAGGAATCTTCCTCCAAGTCTGTATAGTTTCGTCATCAGTGTGCATAGCTCATTAGACAGCACCCTCCCCCTGCTATTTGTTAAAATTGGTGCCACAACAGATTCAGTTAGTATCAAAGTTCAGGCATACATATTGATTGAAGGATCAGAGTCCAGCAGGTAAAAGGCTAGAACCACCGTGGCAAATCAATGCTGCTTTATTTTTGTTCTGTGCTGAACTGAGGGACGTTCTGTACCGCCAAGCCAAATCCGAGTTAAGTCAGAACTCGTGTTACCTCTACAAGGGAATTATCTCTTGCAATATCATTCTTGATTTAGTGTCTTTTCTTTTAATCATATCGGAGTTGTATAAGTTAAGGTTTGTAAAGCGCACATTAGGTTAGGACGAGCACATCAAAAAATTGAGCTTCTGTTGTGACTCTATGCAATTACATTATGAAAAATATGTCAGACATTTTGTAAGAATAATGCTTATTACTGTAGTTAGAAAAGCCTGTTCTGAGAAGAAAGAGGCTTTCTCAGACATTGTTAGGAAGAGTGAAACCTATAACCTTTCTCCTGGAGGAAAACCTGGCCTGGTAACTGGTATTAGAGTGATGTGTGGTGGCCAGTGATGCTGCTTTTGGAAGTAAATATTTTATTTGGAATAGATAAGCACCTCAGATAAGTGGGGACAGAAATGCACACTGTGCAACAAGAAAAACAGCTCGGCTGGACTGTGGGCCTACTTTGGAGCCCTTGTCAGCATGTTTAAGACCCTGGGTTTAATCAGTAGACTGCCCCCCGATAAAAAAAAAAAAAAAGAAAATACCCTAAATCTCCACCAATCAGGAATTAAGGACTGGTTAATCAGATTCTAGGTAAGTGGAGCTAGGTAGATGGTAGAAAGCACATACTGGTCTTGCAGAGGAGCCAAGTTCAGTTCCAAGCACCTCTGTTGAGAGACCTGACAGCTCAGACCCCTGCAGACCCTGTAGACACACATGCATCGTTAAAAATAAAAATAAACCTTATAAAACATTTAAAATATGTATATGTATTGTCAAGGAAAACTACGCTAGTGCAAATATTTTATAGTTACAGAAAACATGCACAATATAGTTCAATTTATTAAAAAGCTTTTTGTTATAGACATACATGTAAGCTTATTTATCATAAGTTTTCAAGGGTCAACGAAACTTAGTGATTGTATTACCTGTGGTTTAGGATAACTTTTCCTTAGGACTTAAACATTTCCAAATTGTTTTTATTTTAGATAGTGAGCATCAGTAAAATAATAATCAGTAAAAATAATATATTTCTATTTAAAAAATACAACAAAATAGACCTCAAGTGAATCACCTAATACTCAACTAAAATTTATTAAACATTGGATAATGTAGTATCAGGCAGACAAACTTTTTCCTGATGTAATTACACCAGTAAGTGGTTCCTTGCTGATGGCACCTGTTAGTGGGCTATTGTGAGAGTTGGTCCTAATGTACATATGTTCTCTTCACAAATCTTCATTTCATTTCTGTTGTATGCCCAGATCTACTTTAGTTCAGTGTAACATGGGAAAGTTGTTCATAAGATACTAGTTTTTCTTATATTTTTAATTAATTATATCTTGTATTTCTTTTATTTTTTTAATTGTATCTAGAGGAATAATTTGAATTTTAGGGAATCATAAAAGTTGAAACTATTGCTTTTAAATTCATAGTTAATTTAGTTGGCACTGGTAAATGATTCAAAATGTGTTATGTTAAAAACAATGACAACATTTCTTCTAAATGAGCAGGAAACACTGATGAGGAAGATAGTGCTTCAGAATCTGAGCTCTGGAAAGGACCGCTGCCAGAGACAGACGAAAAGTCACAGTAAGTGCTGAGATTCATAGATGCTCCATTCTGTCATCAGCTTAGGAGGCCATGGATACTGCTGTTCTTGATAACAGTTAATGAAAATATTTAATGCTGTGAATGTTTATTTAGTACCAAAGACTCCCTGCCCTGGTAAGGTGAAAGTTCATTACTAGCCATTGTTTTGGACTGCAAACAGCCAATGAGTCCAGACATCCCTCTGTTCTTGTTTGGATTCCTTCTGAGAGGGCTATTCAGTTGCATCTAGGACAGCCTGTCCCATGACATCACATTCTCATAACCCACGCTGAGGCGCTGCTTGAATTTATGCAGGTGTAGAGAAATCCTTGCCAACAGTCATCCCAGCCTCCCAACAACAGAAATGACTCAAAGTGCTTGCTCTGCCGCAGCTGCCTTCAAAGCCTGAGCTACTTGGCTGTTTGAGGCAGGCTGCAAACATTGACGTTCTTTAGCACCTGATCCTTCTCACTGTATTTGACAGGTTATATGGAGTGTAGTGTCCCCTCAGAGTTCTGTTCTTTTAGATATAACCTCTACTAAGTATTAAAAATAGGTATTTACTATCCTCAGAAGGATAGAGCACTGTGGCCTTAGCAAATGTCCTCACACTCCTGGGAGTAAGTCTTGTTTGTTTTTTTTAAAACATAGTTTCTGTTTTGTGCATTTCTTAGGTAGATTATAATTTGAAATAATCAACCAAAAAAGCAAAGAGAAGCAGTGATGTTTTACAAAGGATTTCAAAGAAAACTGAGGGGTTTTAAGAATGATACCAGCATGTAAAATATTCCAATTTTAACCATTTTGAGACTAGATATGATTGTTTAGAGACTAAAATTATTTGAGTTATGAAAACATACTGGTATACAGAATAATCAGCTACTATAACTGAATGAAAGTATTTTATTTTTATTAGTTTCATATAATGTATCATTTAATTTTTTACTCTTCATTGTTTTAAATTTAATTTTTATTATTTTATTATAATAATATTTGTACTTTTTTGATAGGGAAGAAGAATTTGATGATTATTTTCAGGACTTGTTTCTGTGAGCCGGGAGAGAGAGCCACATTCCTTGGTGAGGAAAGATACTCTGACACTCTATTCTGTGCCGTTGAGTCTGGGCAGCTGCTAGGACAGATACTTCAGAGATACGAGGGCTGTCTCGGACACTTTCTTCTTCACTTGTGTATCTTCTCAGTTGGTTATCTAAAAACCTGTTTTGCCCCCAGCTTTCCAGTATATGATAAACTGTTTGAAGTGTCATTTGAACATGGAGTGCTTGGCATTAAGCTGTAAATAAATTATTTAGTGTTTTATTTTAAAATGATTAGTGTCAGAGTTTTTCCTTTTATTAAATAATTGTTATTAATTCACTCATGACTGCTCCCCAGGCTTCTGTTGTGCCTGAGGCACTGCTGACTGCTTTGAAAGAGCTTTTTTGTAAGTCATTTTGCAATCCTTTCTGAACTAGGAGAAAATAGTAAAATTATATCAGATGTACTGATGTTAAATATTGGGTAAAGGTCTCCTTATTTCTTGGGGGTGTGTTTTTTTATGTTATTACTTATACTGAGTAAAAAGAAATCTTGATATCTGAGGAAAGTTATGGCATTAAAGTTGATACTAGTAGTGGAGTTCCTATAGCTAAGCACTCTTATAATAAAAATATATTCATCATTCAATAATATTCAGAAAAGAGAGGTCTCAGAGTTAAATGGTAACTGAGAAGACTGCACACCATTTTACAATACAACAATATGTTTTGGAATGAAGATACAGTTTATGATGTCAAGTTCACATATGAACTTAGATAATTATATAAAATCCTGACAGCCTAGCATATTTTAAGGGGTCTTTGCAAAGTCTGAGGTAGTGCTAGATATCAGCCCTACAGCTGCTTCGTGCTTCAGCTCATTGCAGTCAGTGATGGTCACCAGGCCCTTGGTTGGGAGGCTGTGAGGTTCTGCATTCAAATTATACAGACCCTGAAGTCACGTTCATATATTTGAGATCTTCAGCAGACATAACACTAGCCTCAATTGAAGTTCTAGTAACTAGGGGAGGGGAAGATACTTGAGCTAACTTATGTTTTGGAGTTAAAAAAAAAAAAAATCACATAAAACTAAAGGAATTTGATAGGAATGAAATGATGGGAAAAGGCAGTGTACATCACTTCATGAGACAATAGCTCAGTCACTTGTCATAACTGCCTCCCATATCAGCATCTGGAGTACAATTCATTCACACCTGCTGAGTGCTACCCTGGGCCAGGCACTGCTCTAGATGCCAAGATGGAACTCGGAGCCAACCTAGCAAAACTTCTTCATGGTCTTTATGTCCAGACGTGAGAGACAAAGGACTTGACTTGTAAAAGCAAAGCAGATGATTATTTCTTTCTTTTCTTTTTTGTTTGTTTTGTTTTGTTGAGACAGGGTTTCTCTCTGTAGCCTTGACTATCCTGGACTCAAACTCACAAAGAGTTTGCCTCCTAGAGTGCTGGGATTACAGGCTTGTACCGCCATGCCTGGCTGGTATTTCATTTCTTGTCTGTTTAAAACTGAATTTTCCCTGGGATCATGACAGCGGAAGAACTGCCCCTCTCTGGCTGCAGCACTCAGGAGAGTGGGCTCTGCACCTTACCTGGTCAGCACAGTAAGGCTGGCCCTGGTCAAGGGCCCCCAGGTAAGCCAGCCCTAAGGGTGAGAGCATGGAGAGCTGGCCCTGCCACTCATCTGCTGTGAGATGGCATGGGGGCAGGAGTGATGCCCTGCTCTCATCTTGCCCCTCACCGCCTGGGAGAATGGCCTGAGATCATGAGAGTGGGTGAGCTGGTGAGATGCTATCTCTGGCCAGCTGCAGCACTCAGGAGGCAGGCTGTCCACCTCATTTGAGCAGCACAGTAGAGTTGGCCCTGGTGGGGGTGCAGAGGTGAGCTGGCCCTGCCAGGTGTGGGCATGGGGGTGATGCCCTCCTGCTCTTCCCCTTGCTACCTGCAGTAGCCAGGAGAGCTAGCCCTGCCCCCTCGCTGGCTGTAGCACTCGGGGAGATTGGGCTCTGTGCCTCATCTGGGCGATATAGTGGAGCTGGTCATGATGACAGAGACGTGGGTGAGCCAGCCCACAGGCTGTGAGAGTAGGAGAGCTGGCTCAGCCCCTCACGGGCTGCAGCACTTGGGAGAGTGGGCCCCAAGCCTTGACTGGGCAGCACAGTGGAGCTGGCTCAGGAGAGCCAGCCCTGGGGGCATGGAGCAGGAGAGCTCACCGTGGTGGTATGCATAAGGGAGAGCTGCCAGGCTGACCAGCTCAGCTACCACCCAGGCCCAGCTCCAGGGCTCCGAATTGGCTCACCCCCATATCTGTATCATCTGGGAATGGTTGGGATGCATGAAAGGGCAACTCCTGCTGATCCAAAGCTGCAGGATCTCCTTGACACAGGGCAATTACAGGATAACCAGGTGGAGTCCTGGTGAGGATCCAATATTGATGGCATTGCAGAAGCCAAAGATCTATAAGCAGACCAGTGACTCACTGCAGTGAACATTCCCAAGTAAAGATGTGTAGACGGGAACATACTGTGGGACCCACTGTGATATACTATAGTGTCCACCATGAGATGTTCTCTATGCTTTGTTTTTGTTGTGTGTGTTTGATTTTTTAGGGGATAGGGTTGCAAGTGTGAAGTGTGGATATGAGGGGATGTGGAGATAAGCAGGACTGGGTGCATGATGTGAAACTCACAAGGAATCAATACAAAGTTGAAAAGAAACAACTGAATCATATTGTTTGCTTTATAATAATTTATTTTTAAGGGCAAAGCTCTCAGATAATTTAAATTCAAGTCTGAAGTTACTGGCAGCCATGATGCCATAATGCATTCTCACTTCCAGATGCTCACCAGTGTTACCTGAGGCCTCTCTCAGGGAGGAAAGGGCACTTGTATGTTAGCATATTCATCCTTCTCACTTGCATGCAATCTTCCGTTCTTGTGACTGCATTAACTTTTCTGCATTGCTATCAGGGATTTTAAACCCAAGTTCATATTCCATGACCATAGTAATCTCTACTTACCCAAAACTGTGTAAGCTTAGGTCTTCCATAAACAGGAATTTACAGAGGGCAGTTCCAGGTGAGCCTTGCCGTAGAGCTTCAAGACAGAAACTTGACTCTTGATTACTTTGAGTGCGGAAGCGGGTGCATCCCCACACTGGCTGTGCGGGGTGTGTGACCCTCCCTGCCACCTGCTCTGCCACTGAGATCGGCTGTATAGTCCTGGTTCAGGTCCCGCAGAGCATAGTCCACCAAGAGTCCGCATGGGAACCCAGGCCCTGTGAAGGCCACGAGGAGGTAGCAGACACAAAGGAAGGGACATAAGCCACCATGACTACACCTACCCAGAATGCATTGCTCAAAACTGAACTTTACCTTGTGTGTAACATGGCATACTTGAGATGCAATGATGTAATGTGCTTTTTTTTTTTTTCCTTACAAAAGCCTGGCCAAATATATGGTGTTTATTCTGTTTTCTAGTTTCATCTGTGATTACAGATAAATAAAAGAAGAAATCTTAAATTTTTCCGATACCCAACCAGGCATATATCATGTCCTGGAACTAGCAGTCTTTAGTTTCTCTTGACCGTTTAATGTTTTTAAGTTTTGGGTTTGTTTGTTTGTTTTTTGCTATTGTTTGTTTTGAATGTGTGTATGCACGCACACACGCATGTGCACACATTCATATGTGCATGGATGTATGTATGAGTGCTTGTGCTTGTGTGTGACATGCATGTAAAGCTCAAGGTTGATGATGGAAATCATTCTCAATCACTCTTCCACCTTACTGCATGAGGTGTGGTCTTTTAATCCAACCCAGAGCTGCCAAACCTGCTTGCTCAGGGATCCTCTGCCTCATCCTTCAGAGGGTGGATCTATGGCTGGTGGTACACTGACATTTACATAGGTTCTGAGGGTTCAAACTGCTCCTGTAGCAAATGCCTCAGCCATAAACACATACCTAAAGTAATCTTAACTGCTCTTTCCAGACTTCTTTTGATAAGTTCTTGCCCAATTGAATACTTAATTCTGAGTATTTATTAACTGATTTAACTATGAAATTATCCAGTGTGTCTTCCAAAATTCTGTTAAAGGAGTAATTTTGTATGATAAAACTGTTCTTAGTTGTACATGACAAGATAATTTATTTTAGACTTTGAAATGGAGAAAGCATAGGGAAAAAGTATAAAATTTTATAAACTGCCAGAAATAGTCTGGAGATCATGCCATTATCAAAGGAGAAAAATAGAGGGGAGAAATATGCTGATTTCTTCTGACATCATTTTCTCTTTGTTTTCTATACTGTATTTATATACATGGCTCAGTCTATACTGTATCGCCTCTGAACATGGAGACATGGTGATGAAAGATTTTTAGCTTAGAAAGTAGAGGATCACGATTACAAATGCTGCAGGCTGAGTCCTTTCCGCCCACCAGTCATATCAGATCATCCTGATCCTCAGCACAGCATACTGAAGACAAGAGGCTAAAATAAAGTCATAGGGTCCTAATCCAGTAGAACTGGTGTATATCTAGGAAGAGAAAACTAGGACACAAAGATGTCCACTTGACAGGGTAAATAGCCTTCTAAAAACCAAGTATGCCAACTATTGGTCTTGAACATCTAGGTTCCATCCCCAGTAATTGTGAGCAAATAAATGGCTGTGGTTTAAGTACCAGCATGTGGTACTTTGTTGTGGTAATTTTAGCGAATGAATACAATTAGTAAGCTATTTGATACTTGTGGCTCAGGCTGAGAGATGGCTAGCACTTGCTGCTGTCCCAGAGGACATGGGTTAGGATTCCAGAACCAACACGAGGCCGGCACAACTGCCTGTAAATGAAGTTCCTGGGAATCTGAAGCCCTCTTCTGGCCTCCGTCAGCCCTGGCACACATGTCACTGACTCACACAGACACATACATTTAAGTACATCTTAACACACATACACATATCTGTAGATATAATCTTGTGAATCATTTCAAGATAGCGTATTTTTACATTTAAAACAAACGGCATAAAAATCCATTGTTTTGTCATATTTTGTTTTTGGACTGAACTTTATTTAGCTCATAGGGTTTCCAGGTCAGCAGGAGGCAGTCTGTGGATAGTCACATGGCAGTGTCTTTGGAGCCTTTTCTGTTCCATCACTTCATGGTCACTGGACAGAATTCAGTGAGGTTCTTTTGAATGATTTTTCTTGGAAACTAAGATGATGCTTGAAATATAGACCAGTTGTATTATTTTATAACATTAAGCACGTTTTGGACTTTTTGTCA